TAATAAATATGTATAGTTGTAAACTTTGTTTGTTAATTCTTTAAAAATCTTTCTGATAAAATATTTTAACAGGATACTAGTTGTACCTATGATATTAATAGGTATGTTAATTTGCAAAAATTGAAAAAAGTACATATTTTAACAATTACGAAAATAATGTGTAGTAATATGTTTTGGCAACATTGAAAAAATTATTACTTAATATTATTTGGTATCGTATAATAGTTATTTATATGGAATACCAGATACTTATACACAATATCCACAGAGTTCTATTATTATTATTATAATTATAATTATTTTATTATATCACATAATAACATGATTTAAGATAGTTGTTATATCATAAATCGTAGTTAATGCCGTTATTACTGTATAGTATATTATAATTATATCCATTTCACGACCACGCATTTTTACTTGTAAAATTTGAGCTAGAATTAATGAAAAAAAATGAGTCCCCCCCCTAGAAGTAAGTCTATATACGCCCCTGAGATATAACACAACAACAAATTCGTATTTCATGACTGTATACTTTATTCATTAGGTATCGAAGATTTGATGATTTTCACGAAATATATTATTATATCAACGTTTTACGTTATTTTAAAATTTTCATAGGTACCCCTAACTCCTAAGCCATAAAATAGCGAGGCCCCAGAGCCGTTCCAAAAGTGCGAGGTCCTGTGCGATTGCACTCTCTGCACACCCCTCGCGCCGRCACTGTGTGAACCGGCGAGTGCAGCGAAAAACAAAACAGCTTGACGTATTTCGCCTCATCGAACGCGCCGTACTGTGGCGGAACAGCATGGTCAGAATAGAATTTGTTCGCACTCACCGCACTCACCGGATTTACGTTGAACACGGCGTATTTTAAAATTAAACAGTTTTTGTACAAATGTCTAAATATTAGTATAAAAATAAATAACAATTTATAATAAAATAGAATATAAAATATAGGTGTAAATTTCAAGTTTCTAAAGCTAGGTATTCATTTTTGAATAACAACAAAATAAGAATATCAGAAAAAGAGAAATTGAGAAAATATCCAATGTTGTAATTTAAATAAAATTTAATTTGACATTATGGTAGACATTTTTTATTTGATAAGAGTAGACTAACTCATGAAGATTCAAGATCAAGACTCATGAAGATTCTGTATTGAATTTTCAAACCTTAGAATTTCTAACTGTTTAAATAAATTGCCAATTTCCATGATTTTTACGTGTTTTGTACTTACTAAGTACCTAAAGTACTACCAACTTTAAATGCTTGTTGAAAAAATTTGTGTTATTAATATTTTTTAACTATTATTGTAACGATATATTAGGAGCCTTGTATTAAAKTTTGAAGATCTTTTACCAAAAGGATAACATTTTACTGTCATTTATGAAAAAACAGGCGGGTAAGTCGTGGATGTCGCTCTGCTGTGCAGTAGGTTACAAGTGGGTTACTGTAAATGGATGGAATTAAATTTGAATCCAATGATATTATATCATTTTATACGAAAAACGATTCTGATCGAAAATTTTTTAGTTTTTATTCTATATAATAGTCGATCAAATTCTATTCGTAGTCAAAATGCTTGAAAATTTAAAACTAGTTTCCGTATAAATTTTAAATATAGCAGTTGATAAATGCATCCATGGGCACGATTTTATTCATTAATATTTGAAATATAAATTTTGACAAAATCTATTATAATCTCAAAATTGTTTACAATATTTTGTAGTTAAAATAGGCATTATAGAATGTTCAATTTTTAAATATACGAATTRACAATTTTAAAYAAAGRTCTTCTTAAAAACTTCATACTGCAACCAAATAATATATTATTAACTCRGTTATTTTGTACAGACATTTTAAGTTAAAATTTGGACGACATTATACTAAAAAAACAATAAWAACGATTCTGTTTTAATTTTAAAATATTATTCTTAGACACTTGATACTTTCAGCAGTTACATTATAATGTATACAGTATACAAGCAATAMAATTTTTAACTACATTGTTTTTGGGAAAAATTAATTTAACCTAATACTGCAGTATAACCCTTTCAGTCCTGAATTTTTGCTTTTAGGTAAAAACATTTTTTCTTCATATTTTCATTTTAAATATTCGATAAATAGGTTACTGTTAAAATTTAAAATTTTTCACACTACCCCTTCCTAAAATTTTTGTGATGTACAATGTACATAGAATCGAAAGTACTATTCAATAAATAAAGCTAAAATGTATTGAAACAAATACATTAMCTATGAGGAAGCTTTTATTACATTTTACAAGGTTTTTAACTGAAAACATTTTAATTAATATCTACTGGAAATTATATAAGGGGATTTAAAATTCAAAATATTCTTGAATAGGTATGGCTTAAAATGAAATATATAGTATAAACCTTCCTTCCTAAAATTATTGTATTAAATATTGATTATTAATTTCGCGCTCAGCTGCA